CGTGTTGTAGCCCCGCCCCCTCCCCCCCCCCCCCCGCCGTTTCTGTCTCTGTCAGGGAGATGGGAGGACATGAGCCAGGGCTGGGGGTAGCTGGCTTAAAAGACTGTTCTTTCTCTCTCTCTCCCCCCTCCTTCTCCCGGGGGTGCTAGCCCTACTCCAGCTCTGCCGAGTGGTCCTATCAACTAATGATATAGTTGATACAAACTGTACTGACTATACAATAGCTCACTAACTGCAATTTAACATCCTTACTACACCTGCCCACTCTTTAGCTCGCTAACTGCAATTTAACATCCCTACTACACCTGCCCACTCTTTACCTGACTCAAAACCAACAGCATTAGACTCTTGTGTGCAGAAGCATTAAATTCAGAAGCTCGCTGAAAGTGTATGCACAATACAGAAAAATTCATTATGTTACATATCCCTACAATGTACTTATGCAGAAGTCACAGCTATCAGTATTGGCATTAGGCAAGCTAGATACGGTTTTGCTAATAAAACTATATATGTTATTTATTTGTTGTGGCTTAAAAAAAGTCAGTGTAATCATTTTCAACTACAAGTGACTTTCAATTGGTTTGTTTTGGTAGGAGCTTTTTGATTTTATGGGAGGAAGGGCGGGGGTACTGTTAGAAAGAGACAGACAGAAAGGGCATCGGGCACAATCTTTTCCAGAATTCAGCATCAAAGAGATGATTGGAAATAAAAGGTTTGTTTTTGGTTTTAAAACTGGAGTTGATCATTGTACTAATCAATATCTCCACAGTGTGAGGGTTCTTCTTCCAAAAACCATCTTGAAGAAAATCTATACACATTTCAACAAAACCGTTCACCTATAAAGTATTCACACACCATTTCATAGAAATATAGAGAATTAGGGATGTTAACATGTAGTCAACTATACAATTAACTGATAAGCCTAGGCTTATAGGTTAATCTTGTTGACTACACATATCTGCCCCTGCCCACTTGCAGCCTCTGTATCAGAGGCAACAAGTGGAGTGAGGGGGAGCTAGTGCCCATGAGGAGCTTGCTTTAAGCAGGCTCCCCATGACCAATGGATTTGCCTACCTCTCCCAGCCCCGTGCTGAAGTGCGGCAGATGAGGGGAGAAGGCTGGCGGTGATGTGCGCGGGAAGTCAATTTTAAAACCAGATTCTCGCATGTATCGGCTCTGTGGACCCACCTACCTCCTACAGAGGCAGCAGCATGGGGGACAGGGAGAAGGGCATGAGAGGCTGCTGTGAAGCAGCTTTTGCCCGCAGCAGGCCCAGGCACACAACAGACTGAGACTGCTCCGCCTCCCATGGAGAGCTCCAACCCCCCATGGATAGGAACTGCTGACACCCTACACCTCTGCCTCTCTATCAGAGGCAGCAGCATGGGGTGGCAGAGGGCTCCCTGGGAGTGGGGCCGGGGCGCACTGGCTGGCAGCCCTGCTCCCAGGGACTATTGAATAGCCATGCAACTGATAATATTTTGTGTAATTACACGACTATTCAAATTACACTATATCTAACATACTATAGAAAATATGTGACACCCTTCCCTTACTGAATCAGTCAACCAAATCAAAAGACCTTCATAGCACATAAGGCATGAGCACAATGGGAAATTCTTTGCTAACAGGGTAGGAACTGTTAACTAAAATTGGAAAGAGCACAGCTAATGGAGGAAAATGCACGTTATTATTAATATCTACATAAAAAATAGAAACACTATCTAGCTTAGTCATTACTCCCACTGCAAAAGTTAATACTGAACTTTCTTATAAAAAAGTTTCAGATATACTATGGCACACACAGACTTGACTTAATTAGAAAGATTATGTTTTGCTTACTTCTTTATCACGTAAAGTGACAGCTTTGCAAACATGTTGTGGTTGTTTAATTAAGGCTATACTGCACCCTGCTGGTTAAAAATGTTACTAGTTTATACTTTGGGCAACAAGGACACAGGACTCCTTAAATTACACTAGCGCTTTTGCAGACAGAATCAAAGTGCCCTTGAGGGCAGGGGACTGGACTTGATGATCTCTCAAGGTCCCTTCCAGTTCTAGTATTCTATGATTCTAATTTCTTGTTTTGGCAGATCAAACTGTCCTCATGTCTCTAGAATGTATTTTACAGCAACACAATTTCCAGTAGAGATTACAGAGGACTGACAGACAGAATCAATCAGCAAATACTTGCCAAAAAGATGACGATGTTTTTGCTTTTAACTTCCTTTTTGGAGTAACACAAGAGAATTGTATTTGATTATGCATTCCCTGAACAGACAGCAAACCAAACAACACAACATTTGAAATAGTTAAGTAATGATGGAAAGCTATCCAACTCCACTATAGATTAGGGTAGGATACTGACCAACACATAAACAAACTTATGAACAGAATGAATTGACTTATCTGTGACCAAGACTAGAAAGAAAAATCTTGGGGAATCATAACACATCATCTTCACAGAATAAACTTACAATTAATTTTATAGATCACCATCCAACAGCACAAGGCTATCATGATCTTGTAATTGTGAAAAATCTTTCACATATTTAAAAACAGACAAGTCTCGAGGGATAGCTGTTTTTGTGTTTGTATCTGACAAAGGGCATGTCTAGACTACATTCCTCTTTCGAAAACAATGCAAATTACGCAAATCGAAAGTGCAAATGAAGCACAGATTTAAATATCCAGTGCTTCATTTGCATATTCGCATATGATCGCTGTTTCGGAAAAGGGTGTTTCTGAAGTGAAACTGTAGTCTAGACTGCATACGAGTTCCTTCGGAAAAAAAACCCCTTTTTCGAAAGAACCCGTATGCAGTCTAGACTGCTGTTTCACTTTCAAAACACCCTTTTCCGAAACAGCGATCATATGCGAATATGCAAATGAAGCACTGGATATTTAAATCTGTGCTTCATTTGCACTTTCGATTTGCGTAATTTGCGTTGTTTTCGAAAGAGGAATGTAGTCTAGACATTGCTAAAATGGCTTTTACCCATGAAAGCTTGTGCCCAAATAAAATCTGTTAGTCTTTAAGGTAACACAAGACTCCTTGTTATATTTAAATGAATGCATCAATCCCAGGACTAAACACTTACAAATTTTGAACTGTATTAAATATTCAATCCCATTACCAGACGATTACTTCATGAACAATTTTTGCTTGGTAAGTCATCTGCCACATACCTGTATATTTGACCAGCGTTCGACCTGTGGATATCTCCCAGAGTTTACCTACAGAGTCTTTTCCACTTGACAGGATGTACTTTGAATTTTTTGAAAAGATGGCAGAACAGACTTCAGCCCCGTCATGGGCTTTCTCAAAAGTAGTGATGCACCGATTTGAAACACCGTCCCATAATTTGATGCATCCATCCTTACTTCCAGTCACATACATATTAGCACTAGCATTATAGTTTACGGAACATATAGCATCGGTGTGTTGATCTTGAGGATTGCAAGACACAAAACACTGGAATGTATTGATATCATAAAGCCGTAAGGTAGGGTGCTGGGTACCAACAAGTATGAAGTCGCCAGAAGGATGAAAAGAGATGGAGCGTAACATTTCTGCTTCCTGCATGATGAGAAATATATAAATCAATATCAAGAACCTATTTCAAGAGAGAAAATCCTGGTAGATTCACAAGTCTGAAGTTATAGTTTCATATTTACAAAGTTAAATTCTTAATTGGTAAAGACAACCAAAGGACTCCAATTCTGTTCATAAAAGAAATGCCAGCACTACTCCTTACATTTTCAGGTTTTGCTGGTAGCACATTTAGAGAGGAGAGTGGACATCAGCTTTGAAAAGATCACAGGCACACATTTTATGTACCTAATTTGTGTGCTTATCAGAAGACTATACGCAAATTGGATAATTGCATACTCCTGTGTACCTAGTCATTTCTGCATGCAGACACAAATTAGCTGTTACCATGGTAGTTATACACCTCAAGCTTTTTTGTTTAACCTCCTTACCCCCCTGAAACTATAGCCTCTCACCTGGATATATTTGAAGGCTCTCTTGGCAGAAGGTTTTGAATAGTCAAACAATTTAAGTGTATAGTCCCTTGAACCAGATGCCAGGATCTGTTCTGTTGGATGGAAAGCTAAACATGTAACCTCATCTACGTGGTCATATAAAGTCCGGATAACAGGATGATTTTCCATATTCTGCTGTGCTGTCTCATTCATCATGACCTTCAGAAAACATTGAAACAAGTCAATAAATAGTGTCTCCTTCTGACAAGGAATGAACCATAAAACACTCTCCCACTATTTATGTCATTACTCTATCCATTTAAAAGAAAAACCCAATCAAACATGTAGGATTTCCTGGAAGAAGAGAAAAAGTGAATTTTAAACATGCATCAATTAAAAAAAAAAAAGAGCACACAATAATTTTCTCAAAGTTCTTTGCAAATATTGGTCATAAACATCCCTATGACAAGTGTACAATATCCTTCTTTTACAGAGAAGCAAACAGAAATTGACAGAAGTTAGCAATTTGCCCAAAGTCAAAATGGAGTCAACGGAAGAGGGAAACCCTCCCTCCCCCCCAAATTTCAGCATTCCCAAGTGTTAGCTGTATGCTCTAATTCAAAATACTACCCTTCTTGAATAAAAGTCACCTTTGTAATTAAGACAATTTTGCTCATGGCAACAGTCTTAGGTTGTGAACTGCCACTAGTGTGCAGATTCCACACTACAACAAAAAATACTTTTCCGTAAGTATGCTATCACAGGCAGAACACATGCTATAAAATGGATGTATAATTTTTATCACTCACTGACTGATCATCACAATTCATGTGATACTTTACCTCAATGGGCATAGCACTTTTTGCCAACATTCTCTCTGTATCAAGAATTTTTATTGAGGCATCAGCAGATCCTGTAGCTATTAACTGCCCATCTCTGCTATATGTAGCTACGCGACATGGTCCTTTATGAGATGTGACATAACAGGTCTCATATTCAGAAGCCTCTGGTGACATAGTCTGGACATCTGCGTCAAATTCTAAGTCAATCCCTGTTCCTGGAGCTACTGTATCGGAGCGTCCAATTGCATACTGAACTGCACTGTCATCATTCTCCATTCCTGAAGGACAAGAAATGAAATATATTTATTTTCTCCACAAAAAGACTAAGTCTTCAAAAATAACCTAAAAACTGCTTCGAGTAGCTATGATTATATCTACAGTGAGCTTTCACAGGAAATAGTAACACTGCATAGAATTAAAAAAAAAAAAAAAAATTTTTTACAGAACCTTTCCCATAGCAGCTCATTAAAGAATACTCAAGAAAAGAGTTTATGGCCACTATCACTACGGCTATATCTACATTATGGGGTTTTCCCGGGATACCAGTGGTATCCCGGAAAAACTCCGCTGCGTCCAGGGAATGTGTCTGCTCTTCCATTTTTTTTTGCGGAAGAGCAGATGCACTCTTTCGGAAGCCCTGTCTTCCTCCTCCTACGAGGAAGAAGGGCTCTTCCCCCAGTGTAGACGGGCCAAATTTTGGAAAAGCCTCTTCCAAAAAAAAAATCAGAAAAAGATACGCAAAGTGCAGAGTGCAATTTGTGTACTTTTTTCTGATAGATCATTGTAGTATAGACATAGACTACTATAATGAAGCAGTCTCACTAACAGGGTCTTGCTTCATGACCAGGTCTCCTAGGCACCACAATAATTCAATTCAGAATAATGAGAATCTTTATTCCTCCATATACATATAATCCATACTGAAACACCTTCTCTTCAAGGTCGCATCTTCATTGGTAAAATGAGAATTTAATATATTAGTACAGAGGTGGGGAACCTTTTTTGGGTCAAGGGCTGCTGACCCACAGAAAAATCAGTTAGTGGCCATACATAAGAGAGAAGCCAACTCCTCCCACCCCAAAAAAACCCCATCCTCAATGACATGGCCTCTGACCGAGAATCAGAAAGACACTCCCCACATTCCCTTCAAACACCAGAGCCCAGACTAGTAGACTTCGTGTACTCCAGCCCCGTGGGGGGAGAGGGCACTGGAGTGCCTGCGTGTGTTCCCCAAAGGGGGGGAGGGGAGGGGAGGGGAGGGGAAAGGAGGCAAACCTTGGGAGATGGATCCAGGCAAGCCAGAGGCCTAAGGTTCCCCACCCCTGCACTAGTGGAAGCTGCAGCTTAAACAGGGCACAAACATTTTAAACTACATCATTAACGCTTCTCTGAGCAGAGGTATATGGTATGCCTGATTTATGTCATCTAGCTCTGTTCAGAGCGGAGCTGAATGACATGGTGTTGAAAACGCTTACTATTATCATCAGTAGTAAGTCAGAGATGCTAATTTTCCTAGTTTAGACAGATCTAAAGCTTACTATGTTTATGCTCTCAGAGGAGTCAAACTCTTATTTCAATTTGCTATGCACCCTACTATTACATTATTCAAGTAGAAATTGAGAGATCACGATGAAAGATACCTACACTATGACCTCAAATGACCTAACATTAAGACATATGTAAAGTTTAAGGCTGCACTTCAGAGCCCCTTGTAGTACTTTCATCATGTTTCATCTGAGCCAAACAAAAGCTAATTGAAATGCTGATATTCAACTCAGGACACTCTACAAAATAAGAAGGCAGTTTGATCCTTTGTTGCGAGTTCCTGTCTCTCTCAAGTCCATTAAAGCTTGTACTGCTTTAAATAGTCTTTCAGGGTTTGTCTCCGCTGTGCCCAGCAACCAATGCTGCAATGCTCCATCCACCAGCCATCGATTTGTTGATGTCCAAGCACTCGCCTATCAACACATGTACTCCACCAGGACAAGAACAGCAGATATAGACAGGAGAGCAGTCCCAGCAAACCTTACTGCGCACAAGACGCTGCAGTAAGCGTGTCAACTTCAGCTATGCTACTTGTGGAGCTGAAGCAGGCAAATGGCGGGGGTTAGTGTAGACAAGGGCTCAGTAATTGTATTAATATGATAGTTAATTCTGCAATATGCTACTTGTGTAGCTGAAGTAGGCAAATGGCGGGGGTTAGTGTAGATAAGGGCTCAGTAATTGTATTAATATGATAGTTAATTCTGCAGCAGTTTTTGCCCATATAAAAATTATTCCAAGTATAAAATTATTTCTGCTCCATGGAAAAATTAGAGGTGCTTACTGAAAGCACAATACCTTAACAATAAAGCATCTCCAACACTAATAGTGCAGTAGACACACACACACACACACACACACGATAGCTATCTTCGTCTCCAACACTAATAGTGCAGTAGACATACACACGATAGCTATCTTCAAAGTAATCTTAGATCCATAAGAATGAAATACAAAGCTTTTTGGATTTCACTTACTTTTCCATTAGTATACTTCTGCCTAACACAATTACAAGATTTTACACAATATTCTGTTTGCATCTGAGAGTGAAAAAATTAGCCTACCATCTATTATTTATACTCCAGTAGCACATAGCTGTCCAGTAGCACACCCAAAGAGAGTCTGTCTCTTACTGTGACAATTCCTATCCCAAAGATCTTACCATGTTAATATATAAGAAACAAAAGGGTGAAGAAAACACAGATGTACAAAGATGTGAAGTGACTTGCCCAGGGTCACAAAGCAGAGAATAAAACCCAGGTCTTCTGAGTTCCAGTCCAGCATCCTATCCACTGGACCACACTGCCTCAATTACACTTGATTAGAAAGTAAACAACTTTTAACAGAGGTTTCCTATTAAGTTCCATCCTCCAATACATAGCGCATTCACCTGCTTAAAAAAGAAATGTTTAGACTTACACCAGCACTCAGACATTTGTCAGACAACCATAAAACTGAATTCTGATCTGGCAAGTAATACCAGTGTAGTAACATGTTATGTGTCTATTATTATACACCCGACATGCCTCTCTCCTCCTAACATGAAACCGTTCCTATGATAAGTGGTAACTGAACTGGAACCTCATATGAGAGGGGGAGCAACACGCAGTTAGAGCCCTGAAATTCTGAAACATTTCTAGATATATAACAGTCCACATTATGTGCCTTCAGGATACAATGTAACACTCACCATTTCTCCGCTGTCTGTGAGAACTGGTTTTGAGTAGATCTACTAGTGCTGATGATGTTCGACTGGGTGAGTTAGTTAATTTCTATTATATTTATACATGGATTATTTGATTTTAATCTGAGAGATCTAATGGCCCCATTTATTCAGTATGTTTTTAGAAGACTGCCAAGAATATTCAGGGCTTTAGATATGTACTATTATAATTTGAAAGAAAGAATCAGAACAAAAAAGTTTTACTGAAACAAAAAGTGTTTTCTATGCATAAATAGGTCAACTGTACAGCAACACTATTGTTGCTATATGTCTATATGTTACCATTGTATAAGTTAATGAAAGCATTTACTTTTGATTGCAATGAGTCCACTACAGAGTTACAGAGAAGTACAGTTGGAAGGGAGCTGTAGAGGTCACGTCCAGCCCAGTGCTGTGGTCCGGACCTATTTACCTGGACTTCATCAAGAAGTCTGCAATTCCTAGTTTATGCACACTAATACTACATTACAGTTTACCTAGTTTAATCAGATGCAGCAGTTGTTCAGAGGGTGCGCAGACTGACTGTGGCTTTATCTCATTTATCAGGCCATTGGCAATGTTTATATATCCATCGTACAGCAATTGACTAATAATCAGTTTGTAAAGTTGTTGACGATCTTTCAAGCTTACTTTTGTTCTATACATTGTGAGCAAGGAATGCCTTGCCGGTGCCTGAAACAAGAGAGAAGTAGTAATTACAAAACACAGTTAACATTACATTGGTATAATCGTTCATATAAAACATATCCTAGTATCTTTCACGGCTAAACAGTACCATTACTGTGACAAATTAAAAAAGGTATATACCTAAAGGAAAGCAATTTTCTGATAAGATTCAAAACTAGATGGAGAAATGAGAAAATAAAAAGCTTTAACAGCAACAGCAACTACAGAGAAACCAGTCCACTAGCACTCAGACTGTGATTAAGAACTGTTAGGAAAATGAGAGAAGCAATGTTTACCTCCTGACAGCAGCGTTTCTTTAATTCAACTAAGCAGGTGTGGGGAGATGATTAAACAGTTGTGAATGGCAGGTTAAC